GTCAATAAGAGAATAAAAGGAAGAACACAGTTGTATTTTCCTCCTTTCTTGAATAAATTAAATGAATAAATGACAAAATTTAATTTAAATTACTTTTATTTTATATTGGCAAACAATTAACTGTACTAATAGCAGCAGATCGTCTCGTGCATAAGGGGGCCCCACGGCCCTATATATTGGCTTCCTCTCCCTCTTCCTTTCCCTTTCTTTGCCTTTTCTCTTGTTATAAATTGTTGTATTAAATAAGTAGATTATATTTATATATTTAATAATTATAATTACTTATATCTACGTTTTAATTGTTGCTTCTTTTTATATCTTCTTCTCTCTTCTCTTTTCTTCTGCTGCTGCCGACAAAAGAAGAAAAAAGAGCAACAGAGAATTTATATTACATCTTTTTTCCTTCTTCTTTTTATTTTCTTTCCTTCTTATTCTCTTTTCTTCTTCTTTTTCTTTCTTATTACAGTGCAACACACCATGGCAACTCCCCAAAGCAGCACCAGCTGCAGCAGCAGCAGCAGCAGCAGCATAGGAGAAAGGTATAATTTTTCTTGGCAGCAAACAATGTTAAGAATAAAAGATCCAAAAGTTTCTCTTCCTTTCTATGAGAAACACTTCGGCATGAAATTAGTAAGTAATAAATATAAATAAATAAATATAAATAATTTATATAAATAATTATATAAAAGTAAATGGGCACTCTTTAGGTGTATATATATGCATATAAATAATTAAATGTATTATCTTTGTTTATATTAAAAAAAAGAAAAAAGAAAAAGCAGGGGGAAAAAATGTTCGGGTGTATATGCATGCATAAAAATACTAAGAATTGATGAATTTCTTTTTTTTTTATATATATTCTGTTGTATATTGTATCGTTTTTTTTTTTTCTTTATTCAATTTATTTATTTATTTATTTATTTATTTATTTATTTATTCTTTGTAGGTACATTTTTATCATTTTAATGACGCAAAATTTTCTTTATATTTCTTAGAAAGACCAAGAGATGGTGTACAATTACCGACACCAGGAACAAAGGAAGCAGAACAATATCTATGGACTATGAAGGTATAAATACACACTTTCTTCTCCCTATTTAATTAATTAATTAATTAACTAATTATTTTATTTATTTATTTATTTATTTATTTATTTATTTATCTTATTTATTTATTTATTTTGCTGCTTTACACTTATGCATATATCATATATACCTCCTGTGTATGTATTTCCTATTTTTTTTGATTTTTTTAATTTATTTAATAAACTAATTAATTAATTGATGTATTTATTTATATAATTTAGGGTGTCTGCCTCGAATTAACACATAATCATGGTAGCGAGGAGGATAATTCCTTTAAAATAAATAATGGTAATGAGGAACCATACAGAGGATTTGGTCATATTGCATTTAATTGTCAAGATGTTGTACAAATCTCTGAAGAATTAGAGAAAGAAGGGTAAGCAAGAAGAAGAAGAAAAAAAAAAGAAAATAGGAGAAAAGGGTAAGAAAAGAGGGAGAAAATGAGTATATATATATTCATACTTCTTCTTAATTCTTTGTTTTTTTTCTCTTTTTTTTTTTGTATTCAGCGTAAAATTTCATAAGAGGCCCCATGAAGGTCGTATGAAGACGATTGCCTTTGCTAAGGACCCTGATGGTTATTTTATTGAATTATGTAACCGTAATAACACCAATAATAATAATAATAATAATAATAAGGAAGGAGGAGGAGGAGGGAAAGAAGGAGTAAAAGAAGAAATAAAAGAAAAGTTTAATTTATCGCAAACAATGATAAGAGTAAAAGATCCAAATAAATCAATAAATTTTTATAATAAATTATTAGGTATGCAACTTATTTATAAAAAGATTTATTCAGATTTTACTGTTTATTTCTTAACTTGTCTACCTAAGGGTGTACAATACCCCCAAGATATTCAGGTATATATATATATTATTATTAACCCTAAACCCTAATAAACCCTAATAAACCCTAATAAACCCTAATAAACCCTAAATAGGAATTGAATATTTTCTTTATTTGTTGGTGTTGTTCTGTTGATTGTTTATAAATATCCAATTATTTTTTCTTTTTTTTTTTCTCTTTTTTTTGTATTTTTCTTCAAGTTTTCTTTCTTTTTTTTCTTGTTTTTCTTTTGTTCTGTGCTTGTTTTTTCTTTACAGAGCGAAGAAGCTCGTGAATTTATGAAGAATTTATGGTATCCTTGCCTAGAATTAACACATAATCATGGTACAGAGAAAGAAGAATCATTTATTTATCATAATGGTAATGATCAGCCACAAGGATTTGGTCATATTGGATTTCTTACAGATAATTTAGATAAATCTTGTGATGAATTAATTCAACAAGGAGTACCATTCAGGAAAAAACCACAGGTATATTTTATTTCTTTTATTCATTTCTTTTATTTATTTACTTTTTTTATTCTATTTATCTTTTTTATTTACTTTTTTTTTTGTTTTTTTTTTTTTTTTTT